AGGACAGTGGTGACGCCTGAATCCAGAGTCCGACAGCAGCCAAAAATTGTTGTTAGAAAAATATAAAAGCGCTGATGAATAATCTCCCAGTAATGCACAGCCATAAGAGGGGTGTAGCAACATCACGTACATTTTCTAAATACAGAATAAAACCCACCCCATCCCCTGCATGTAAGAAGTAGTAGTCTTGCAATTTAGCATGTACACCTTGGGAAGCTCAAAAATACATGGGGCTTCAGCTTCCTCTGTGCAAAAATGAAGTTTATTTCCTACCTATGGGGACTTTTTACCATCTTTAATTTTCCCTGAGCCTGAGGAAGGGCGTGTGAGCCCCAAAACTTGCAGAAAATGATCTTTTTTTCTTTTTTTGCGATTTCTTAGTTGGTCTAGTAAAAGGTATCATCTCTGAACCAAAAGTTCTAGAGTTTTGCATTTCTTTGGGGCTCCTATACCAGCATTAACTGCTCGTCTTGCACACGCACCCTGTTGTGTTCAATATAAATAGTTAGCAGTGGCATACCATGGGTTTCCAGCGTCTGGAGGCCCGTGCTTGCATTTGTGCCCCCATCCGCAGCCAGTCTCTGAGCGGCGGGGGTCCCCCAGCGCCCAGTCGCCGAGCCCAGAGATGCCAGTAGCGAAAACAGAAGTGCCAGCGGCAAGACTGGAAGTGCCACCAGGGACTGAGCCCAGCTGGCACCTGGGGGCATGCGCCCCCCCACCCCCCCAAGTCAGTATGCCACTGATAGTTAGGCTTGCTCAGTGGTATCAGCAGACTCTGAAAACCAGAAACATTAAAGTACCACCCATCCATCCCTCCTTAACTCTGGCCACTTCTGCCTCTGTCCCTTGAGCTGTCAATAAGCAGTGGCAATTATCTGCAAGCCCTCCAACTGTATTTACCCTGCATGGTGGTGGTGCAGGGAAAGATGCAGGGATTAGTTGAAGCAGTTTGGCAGAGACATACTGTCCTTTGTGCAAGGTGAGCTAAGTGTCTTGAGTGCAGAGCAGGCGTGGGCAGCTCCAGTGCAGTTCAAAAGCAGCATGTGTATATGTGGGAAGGGTGAGCAAGGGGAACCGTTCAAAGACGGCAGAGTTGAGGGTAGACAAGGCACGTACCTTAACTCTTCACTTCCTGGTTTTCAGACGTTTGAATTCAACGTTGCTGAATTCAACATTCTGGAAAGTATGAGATACCATCAAGCCAAAGATACTCATCTTTGAACTCGGTAGGTTCTTTGTCATAAGAATGAATGTCTCTTGCATTCGAGATGCTAGCAAAGGATGCTGCCTGATTCCTAAGTGCTCCGGCCCCTCTTCTGTCGAGGCCAAAACCCACCCCAGCTGTAACAGGCCGTGGCTTAGCACGGGTAAGACATGCTGATTTCTAGCTAGCAGTGCACACGGGAGGGATGTGACTCTGCTCCCCTCTTGTCAGGTTGAACAGTCAAGTCCTCAATTACAGCTGAGTCCATAGGAAGCCACCTTTGGCATGCATCCAGAGCCTTGCAGGATACCTTCTTTTGGGAGGACTTGAATAGGTTGGTTAAGGACTGACCTCCATGTGTGCCAACTGATGGGAGGGACAGGGAAAGCAGCCCAGACCCTCCCACAAGAACAGGGTCCGCAGGCTTTGGCACTCGTAATTGTGAGAAGTGGGGGCTGACAAGTATTCCTACTCGGTCTGCTCTGCCAGCCCTTTCTAATCCCCTTCCCCTCCCTGAGCACCCCCCGCCCCCTCTCCTCTCCCCCGCATCCTCATTTACTGCCCTCCTCCGACCCTTTCCGTCCCTCCTCTCCCTTCCAACATTTGCATATATGATTTATTTTCTTTCTGAAAATAGTTCAAGCGCCTTCTAACTTCTCTGCGATGCTCAGCAACATTTCCACCAAATTAAAAAAAAAAAAAAAAAAAAGGCTCCGACAGAGGCAGGTTGTAGAAACCTGGTTTCCGTCTCCTCTCCAGACTTCTGCTGGGGCTCGGCCTCAGGCCCTCTCTCAGGTCAGGTTCAGCGGCTACCGTGCATCCCTCAAAGCACCCAGTCCACGAGGCTGGAAGGCCTCGCTTCTCAAGCCATCCGTGCAGTATAATTTGTGGGGTCTGTTGGCCTTTGGCTGGTACTGTGGTATGAGCCAAAAACTCCCTTTGAGTATCACTTTCAACTTGCCTTCCCAAGGAGAGGAATGGCACTCGTGCTTTTACTAGGGTGGATGTCAAGCAATAAAGCCCTCTCTGGGCTGGAGTTGGACTTGTCCGAGTTAAGAAAAGAGAGGATGTATCACGAGACTCCCTCGCCAAAGTGATCCCAAATTTAGGACGCTGCCCCTACTCAGCTCCCCAAAGAGGCGCACCAAATGTTAAGATTCAGAGCAAATCTGTGGATTTTACAGCATTTAGGAAAATCAACTTGTAAACAGAAATGGGTTCTCAGCCGTAGCTATATACCCAAGCTGGTTCTCAGCCTTTAAACTAATGAGCATTAGTTTACTGTCTGTGTTTGCCTGTGGCAGTTATGGTTGCTGTGATGATAATTTCGTTGGGTCACATCTCCACCACCAACCTTCATTTAACATCTCCTCCGTATTTGGCTGAACGGTTCTTCAGCTTTAATAGTTAATTAATTCAGCAAGCCACTTTATTATGTGCCGAAGTCCTGTTCAGCCTGTATTTAAACACCTAGCTCGTCCTTAATTTGAAGCGCTCTGCTAAATCGTGGGCTTAAAACCCTGACCCAGAGGGAGGGTGCTTGCAACTGCATGTTCAAAGAAATGTGCTGCTCTCTTGAGGAAGTGGGTCTTGTGGGATCACTTCAGATGAGGGAGAGCAGACGTTACTGGTCAGAGGTTAGGATCTCGTCTTACTCGGTCCTGGGTCAGGGTTTTGACAGTGCTGGGGAGGGGAAGACGCTGCTGCTTGGAGTTGGGGGGTCACTGTTTAAAAACCAGTGCTAGAACGAGCTACCCTCCAGTTCAGGTATTCCTCATAGATGGACACAGGACTGGGAGAGAAATTTAAATGGAAGAGCATCTGTCTTTTGGGCTAGGGGTGAAAAACACCTGACATGGTGCCTCCTGAAGACTAATAGCCACTAACTGAATCAAAGGGTACAGTTGCACCAAGGGCTGCCAGTGATGTTTTTGCTTTGGGTGCATTCCCCGCTAGCCCTGTGTTACAGATGCATTTCAGAGCTTGATTATTTTTACGCATGGTAAAACTGCAGAGGCTGCAGACTGCAAGGCTGAGTGCCCCGTGCCTTTGAGTGCGTGTGTGGAGGAGGCAGGGGAACCCTTTTGATCATCTCGGTAGTCAGATTTCACTCTTCCTCTGAAACCCCAAGCTAGCAAGTCTGCCTCGCATGTATTACCTTCCAGAGTGAAAGAACAGTTGAATTGTTTGAAAAACAAATCCATGCACACCAGAAAGGCGCTCAGTAGAGATGTCTCCTGGCAGGTTGCCCATTATAGTATATATTTGACCCAGTCTAACATGCCTTGGAGTTTGTGTTCAAGTGCCAGTCCTAGAAATGATCCTCATCTGCCCCAGCAAATGCCTGAAAAGAGCTGTTTCTTGCATCAAGCCCTAAAGCATGCCTGACTTTAGCCCTGCCAGAGCAGCAAGTAAATCAGGCTCCTGACTGAACCCGCCCCCGCCATCATTTGCTCTATCAGACTTAAAGCTAAGGACTGTTGCAGTATCACCAGTGCCAGACATTCAACATTTGTGAGTCAGACCCCAAAAGTCAGGAGACTTTTAAAGAATACCAGATGTTCTGCCCCCAGCCTCCTGGGTTGCCAACCTACAAGATGTGCTCGAGGTGCATGTTTTCTTTACAGCCCTGAGAGCAAGAAGCTTTTTACATAGTCTGAATCCACCTGTCATCCCTTGACTCCGGGATCATGGGGCTTAGAAAAACAGCAGGCACTGAGAGATGGTGAGAGTTGACAAGACAGCAGTCCAGCTGAGCTGAGAGCTTCATAGATCAGTGAATACCTTGAATAGCAGCACCATAGATATGCATAATGTTTCACGCTTAAGCAGGGTCCCCAGTTCCCTCTAGCAAGCATCCTGCAATCGAGGATACTTGCATTACAGCCTGATTTCAGCATATGCATCTTTCTACTGTATAGTCTCCTAGAAATGAATGAGTCTGTCCTTGAGCGCAGGGGTCTGCCCATGCCGCTTACATTGAAGGAGTACCAAAGAGACCAAATATAAATGTGGAAGAAACAGTGGGGAGCAACATGGTATGCTTGAGGGCACCTTTCATTCTTCGTTCAGGACAGCAGCTCTTTGAGTGCCTGCTCTGCAGAGATTTAGGTGTGCAAAAATAGGTTCACATTTGAAGATCTCACTTATTTGTGAATTTAGCACAGGTGCAGAAACTGGTCTGGTCAGAGACTGCATTTGTTTATGCTCCCAATCATGGCAAATGCATGTGTACAGGCTGTTCATTGAGCCTAGAGTTGTTACATTTTTTGGAAGGACTTCTTTTCTTCTCTCTCTTAAAAAGATGGTTGTGGGAGTCATGGTCGGTAACACCACAGTATAAATCGCTGATGAATAATGAACCTCTCAATGCCTTCCTCACCATCGACATCACCGTTGCATTAGGCTTGAAGGTAATAGGAGCAAAAAAAAATGTCTGCAGCTGGATGTTAAATTGTAAAAGCCCGTGTAGTGATGCACACCATTCTGCACACATAATAAAACATGCACAGTTCCTTTGGAAAGCAGAAAATGTTTATAAGTAGTCTTCCTTCAAAGGATTCAGTAAAGTTTACCCCTGGTTTCACAGCTCCTTATGTTTGCCCTGTAAAATCTTTGTGGCTTAGTCAAATTCAGAGAGCCGCTATTCTCCATCATTCTCGTGAATCCTGTTTGAGACATGTGCGTCTCCTCCTCTGCCAGTTCTTTTTCTTCAGAAGTAGCAATATAGGTCAAATTGGACTTTCCAGGTGTGCTAACGGTTCTCTTTGTTTTTCTCTGTACCCTAATGCTGCAGAGGAGGAGGATGGAGATGAGGCTCCGGAGGTTCAGGTCTCTGGGAAAATTGGAGCAAAGAAACAGAGGAAGTTAGAGGAGAAACAAGCCCGAAAAGCGCAGCGAGAGGTAAGCATTTCCTGCCATGTCTAAAGCACAAAGCAAAACTGGATTAGCAACACTAATGGTAGCTGGCTCTAAGAGAGAGCAGGACCCGTTTGGTCACTTAGTGTAGAGCAGTGGTTTTCAACCTTTTTAGCCTCAAGGCCACCCTCTATCACTTCTCTAAATTTCGCAGCATCCCAGTTGAGAATCACTGAGCTAGAAAATAAAGATACGGAGAGGTGCCTTGAGGCTAAAGAGGCTGAAAATCACTGCTGTACCTGGTGCCGGGTAAAGTCAGTGGCGTCAGGGCCTAACCCTGCCATGTCCTGCTTTCTCCTATCTGCCCCTTCCTGCCCCCCCAATCCATACCCGAGAGGGGAAGGGTGGCCTCTGCCACCAAGGCTGTTCATATGGGATCTTACATTATGGTGACCACCCACACAGCCCCTTTTGTAGACCCAGCTATTTTCTTGGATGGGAACGTACGGCCTAGGGAACAAGGCATTCAGACCTGAGGGTGGGACTCAGCCCTTAAAAAGCAGACGGCAAGTGAAAAGCCTAGAAACCAGAAGTCTCTTAGCTGTTTATACTGGTCTAGCTCCTAAATTCGAGCTCTTCGTAGTAAATGACCCACCGAAGCAGTGCGGCATTTTCAGTTACACTCACAAAGTTGCTGTAAAGCTGGAGGGGGAACTAATCAGTAACAGCAAATTAAAAAAAAAAGCCCTCCTAAAGCATACCAGTGGATGACTCAGGTTTTTATACGTTAATTTCTTTTTCCTGTTCCACTTTATTGGCCTGCAACCTCTGAACCGTTCTGTAGCCTGGAGGACAGTTTGCAGAGGTTTGATGTAACTCTGCAGTGCTGCATAATGACGAAGACACTTGCCAAAGCACAGAACAGATAAAATAGCTGGTTTGATCAAAATGAGCGAGCTCACAAGTCTACCAGAGCAAAACTGACCTGCTTGCAGAGCATCACCCTCAAGCAAAGGATGTCGAATGTATGCCCTAATTTGAGACTTTAAATGGTGCCAAAATCGGGGGTGGGGGAGAGAGCATCTCCCCCCGGCTTTCTATGATGATGAGAACTAGTAGCATTAGCCAGCAGAAAATACTTCACGTTTAAATATAGGCTTCCATTACAATCTTATTTTTACTTGCTAATAATTTTAACTGTCACGTACTTTCCATGCTTAGGCTTAGCCTTAAACATCTTTTTATGGAAAGTTTGAGCAAAATCGTTTAATCTGTCTTTGAGAAAAACATTGTGGAAGGGCAGAGGGGATGGCCCTTTTAATGCATTTAATTTTTATTCATTTAATTAATTTTTTTAAGAATTCGTTTAATTCCTTCTCAAAATAATCGGGGGTGGAGGGGGTTCTCAATGGTAGCGTTACAAATCCTGTGTGAGGATACATCAACTGTGCAATTCAGTTAAAGTCTTTTATGTAGCAAAGACTGAAAAAAGAATAAACACTGAAATAAAATAGCATACTAAATGATCCATTTTTAACTTTTTTTTCCCCTTTGGAACTATTTATATGTACTATGTATTTTAACCAAGTGGGAGTTTTTTTGCATTTCAGGTTAAATTTAATGTTTCTAATAATAGGATTTTCATCTTTCTTAAGAAGAGAGAGACCTTCCATTTTTAACAGCCAAGTAATTTTATATAATGGAATTATATTTAATAGTTTTTTGTAAGGGCCTCGGTCCAGATTAATTGAACTAAAATGAAACCTACATTTAAAACACAAAATTCTCACATATAAGCAAAGTTTAAACAAAATCTTTGTCTAATGCCCTTCTAAATAAATTTAAAATGACCAGAGAAATAATGCTTATATTAGCTTTCCATAGCATCACTACAATAACAAACTGGCACATACATGTCATGGAACTGAAACATTTGACCAGGAAAACAATACTTGACATTACCAGGGCCATAATTTATCAAATAAGTGGAAATATTAAAAAATTTTAGAAAGCAAATGCAAAAAACCCCAATGATGATGACAAAAGAAACCTAGGGCAGCACCTCTCTATAAAAATGTCGGTTATGCATTTCTGGAGTCCAGGAAGCTGGTGAAAAAAACCCGGTGATCTTCAAGTATGAAACCAAAGATTGAGGAAGAATAATTGTTGCCTTGCCTACTTTTATTTATTTATTTATTTATTTTTAGGCTGAAGAAGCAGAGCGTGAGGAACGGAAAAAACTCGAGTCAAAGAGAGAGGAGGAAAGACGGAAAGAAGAGGAGAAATTGCGTCTTGAGGAAGAGAGACAGGTGGGACTTGGCTAAGTTTGCGGATGGAAATTCTGAAACGAGGTTGTCCTTTATCATGGCTCGACTCCCCTGCTTGCCGAGCAGAGCCCCCTGCCAGCTGTAGGCCCTGTCGGACAGGCTTTCCTTTTGATTCTGGTTGCCATGTTGATCATTTGAATTACCGTGGCACCGAGAGGTACCAGCCAAGTTCGGGGCCTTTTGGCCAAGTGTGCAGCAAACGCCTACAGCATGTCTACACCGTTCCGGTACAGCATGAGGAAGTGGTATCATGAGAGGCAGAGCTGCCACACTTGGAAAACTATGCTTCTTCCAGACTAGGAGTTAGTAACATGAATAGGGTTGCCACCTCTGTTTGAATCTACTCCGGGAGGTTTCATCACACGATGTAATGCCATTAATGGCTTTACATCAGGAAGGCAAATGCACATTACTGTTACATTTTAAAAACCCACTGGACATCTGTATAAATCAGATTCAACATTTCATATTTATTTTAATGAATGCCCTATAATTTATCTCCCAGGTGACTCTCAGCAGGCTCCTGGAGATTTATCTCTAATTCCTGGAGACTCCAGGGCAATCCTGCAGGTTTGGCAACCCTAGATTTGAAAGGGGTGTGCTGTGGTCCTGTTGTGCTGCACTAAGGTGCTGCAGGAGAGATGGTCTCTGGCCTAACGACTGCAAGTCTAGATACATAAGCTTGACCACTTGCAAAGAAAGGCCCAGAGAAGTGAAGTGGCTCACCCTGAGGTCTTGCAGCAAGTCCTGTGTGTTGTTCACTGCTCCACAGTCTGCCCATTAAAGAACTGTTTGTTTCATAGCTCAGCAAATGCCATTTTAAACAGACACTCAAGGCACCAACTTAAAGCTGGCAATAGGGAGGCTGTTTGGTGAAAGGTCCTATGAGACTATAATGGACCTCAGGGGATATTCCAGATGCATTGTTGCAGGAAGGCTTCAGTTATCAGAAATGCCTCTTAGTCAGGGTCCAGACCAGGGGCAGGCAATTATTTTGGGCAGAGGGCCACTTACTGAGTTTTGGCAAGCCATCGAGGGCCGCATGACAGGCAGCCAGGAGCAGATAAATATTAATTTTCTACATTTTTTAGGGGCCCTGCAGGCCAGATAGAATGACCTGGAAGGCCACATCTGGCCCATGGACCGCATTTTGCCCACCCCTGGTAGCTGTAAGCAGCGTAGGAAGTAACAGACTGATCAAAGACTATGTGCTATGCTGCAGCAGCCCGTCCTGGAGCCAATGTGTTAAGAATAGTTGTTTTGGAAACCCTTACATGTGAAGTAGTGCGTGTAGCACATTGGGGTAGAAGAGCAGATCCTATGCATATATTGAAACCTTAAAAGACAAGAAGGCAAACAGTTCTTCTATGACTTCTCTGGGCAGTATGGACTATTGTGGTACCAGCTACAAGCTGAGGGCGAGGCTCCCATTTTTGGAGCACTTCTACAAACTGTAGGTTGGCTTCAGGGCTCAAATTGGGAGGCAAGTCCTTATCAGGAGACTTTCTTGTACATTAGCCCTTTTAAGTTGTATAGATGAAACACTGCATTGAGGTCTCTGGTTAAGAGACTTGGGGGAAGTCTTTAAAAAAAAAAACACTTAAAAGAACAGACTTTTTTTTAATGTCAACAGTAGGCTCCTAAAATGCTCTTGTTATTCAACAGAAACAAAAAATGTGAGAACACAGCCAGGGCTTGCATTGTATTTTCCTCCTCTAGAAAATATTTCCCTTTCTGGTTGTGCATAGAATAATCCTTTCTTCTTCCAAGCTGCTGTCTTACATTTCGTAAGTAAGAAAGCTGCTGATTTCTGAATAGGGAGATTATCAGTCATAGCAACAAGAATTAAAACAAAAATAGAAACCCTGGCATTTTGGCATTTTGGAAGGGCCTACAAACCGGCTTCTTACTATAAGGAAAGTTTTCTTCCTGACCTCCTAGGACCTGAATTATGCCATAAGCACCCACCTGAAGGTTTTATGCCTCTTTCTTAAAAGCTGTCATAACTAGTCACTGACAAACAGGTTAACGGTCTAAATGGATGACTGGTCTGATTTAGTCAAGGAAGTCCTGTGTTATTAGAAACTGAAAGCTGGCAAGAACCAGGATCAGCACAGCAGATAAATTGCTAACCAAGAACTGGTTTGCTCAGTTTATGCATGTAGTCCAAACACAGGTTTCCTCTAACAAGAGCAAGAATAATATTTCCCTCTTGATTCTTTCTCTCCCAGTGCCAGTAGCTTCTGTTTAACTGGGGCAGCAGCTTACCAGGTCCATCCTTCACTGTTGAGGGGTTGAGTATAGTACATAGGTGTGAAACTTTAAATGAGGATCTCATCGTACGGAAGTTGGCACATTAAAAAAAAGCCAGACTGAAGCAGACTTGTAAACCCTGCTTGTTTTGGGGTTGTATAACTTTTATTTTGGTTGCATTAGTCAAACACTATTAACCTAGTTTGTTTACTGTGAGCATTGGTAGGGAAGACAGATTGTTATTCTTGGGCATATACATTTCCACAATGATCTTACAAGGTTGGGTAAAAGAAAGGAGATATAAAGATCAGGGGTCTGAATTTTTTAAGGTATCTAGGTGCTTAAAGGTGCAGAAACTTACCTAGTGGGATTTTCAAAAGTGCTAAGACACCAGAGCTAAATGCCTTTCAAAATCAGGTCTAAAGTTCCCTGAGGTAAGTTCCTTTGGAAATCCCACCTTACATGTAAAGACTACACGTTTATTCCTGGAGCAAAACAATCTTGAATTCTCTTGATTTTTTTTTTTTCATTTATTTTAATGGGGCAGCAGGTCTCTTTACTGGGTAAAAGTATTCTACTGCCTCATTGCAGTATGCACCATTTTCACCAAATGAATTCCGTTTTTCCTGCGTCTCAAAGTGCAGTATCCAAGTAACCAGCAAGTGCTTCCTACTCAACAGCAAAGCTAGCGTCTGCCAATATTTAGCACTTGACTTCAGTCGGGCACCTGTGTTCTTGCAATTTTCAAGCCTGTATTCGCATCTAATAGTTCTCTCAATCTTTAAAAGGAAGCTGGACCATTGTGGAGATTCACACAAGAACTAAACTTTGTGTAGATCAAAAGTCCTGCTCCAGTTGGTAGGCAGAGCAGTGTTTGCAGGGAGCATCTTAATAACAGGACTTCAAAAATTTAGTGCTGGAGAGAAGAAAAAGTTGGGTCCCAGCAGACCTAACTGCTCCTATTCATAGTATCATGGCTTTACATATACAGCATTCTCGTTTCAGGTCCCCTTACAGACTTAGCATGTGATACCAGAAGTGCTGCCCCTCTGACCCTTTTACTTCACCCACAGAGCCAAGAATAAATAATGCGCTCAGACACTTTCTGTCCGATGCAGTTTGCGTTCATGTATTGTTTCAAAAGAACCTTTTTCTGTGTTTCTAGTAGGCGAAGTTTTATAACTGGGTTGAATCCTTGGGAGTAGCACGCCCCACTCCTACCACCCGCATCCAAGAGAAGATGGAAAGGCAGCTTTATTAAAGGTTATGCAAGAAGTGATTGATTAGTCATGAATTTAAAAAGAGAGTGAGCAGCCAGAAAGCACCCTGTCTGTGTGTTTGCATCTTGTCAGCCTCCAGAACTCGTACCTCAAACATTTCCATGGCAGTGATAGTCCTGCAAAGCAGCAGCAATTCAAAATTCAATGAGAAGTTTATTCTAACAAAATCTTAAGGTTTCTTAGCAGTGTCCAAGGTGGTTCTTTGCCTCACATTTAGCTCCAGCGGTTGAGGGGAGAGAAGCCAGTCTGCTCCTAGGATTTGTGTTTATGTGTTTTCATGGCTTTTAAAGAAGACCGTAGGTTCAGTGCTCAAATGATGTAGCACAGTGATGAATGTGAAAGGGGCATCTTGTAGGATCATAGGAAAATAAGGCCAGAAGGGACCTCACAAATTTATCTAATCCAGCCCTTGGTCAAGGCAGGATCAACCCAGTTATATACCCTCCCAGCCGAGTGTCTGTCTAACCTGCTTTGGAAATTTCCAGGGATGAAGCTTCAGTAGTTTCTGTAGGTAGCCTGTTCCAACACTTGACCATAGTCAGAAAGATCCTTCTAATCTCCATCCTAAATTTCCTTTGCTGCAGGTCCTAGTCCCTGTTTCTGCGACCACAGGGAAAAGCCCATCTCCATCCTCTCTGTATGCATGTGGCATCATTTCATATGATCTAAATTAAAAGATGTGAACCGGTGTTCTTGAAATAAAGTCAGTCTTTGCCATAGAGGCACCGTGACTCATGCATGCAGGAGAACTTATTTGCCAATGTAACACACTAGCAGTGAAACAGGGGAATTGCAAGCAGAGTTTCTTCTGTTTTCCTGTCTCTTGGAGAGCTTATAAAAAGCTTTTGTTTCTATAAGCCTTGCGATTTACTTACTGGAGAGGATGCATTTCTTTCAGCCTGTCTGGTTACACCCAGAGCCAATCCCTCCATCCTCCTCGGTGATCACTGATGGTCCTTGTACTGTCAGTCGAACTACAAGTGGAAGCTGGTAAAAGGCAGGTGAATTTTAATCATGTTACCACCAATGAAATAATGAATTGCAGCCTAGAGAAAGAGGAATTAGAAAAGTTCTTAAAATCTTTTCATCTCATTGAAGCCAGCTGGAGTCGGTGGGTCAGACATGGCATTTTTGTGGACGTTTGAGAATCACAAAGGCAGGTGAAATCCCAGAATCCCTCTGACAAGCAGTTGAGTTAACGTCTCCTGTTTATTCTGGGCACTTCTTCACAGCATTGCCTAGGGCTGAACTGTGAAAAAGAACTGCCCTTTCAGAGGAGCCATGATAACTCAAGTCTTGCATATTCTTGCGCCAATTTACCCCCAGCTGCTATTTAAATGTAATTATATGCACAGATAAATAAAATGTGGCTGCCGCGTTGCTCCAGCGTTGCGAACCAGAGAATGTATTTTTGTATGTTTTATATTTCCTTTCCAATGCTCTAATAAC